GTATATGTCACTTATTTTTGTCTATATTTTAACATATTCAAAGCTCATTAAAATCCGGGGGAGAGACATTTCCGTGTGTTTCCTTGTTAGATATTTTGGATCATATTTTGAATGGCATCTTCTGATACACTAATACAAAGCACAAAAGATTCGGACAATTAAGAATAATTATACCTGAATTTGGATCACGGAGTTTCCGTCGAAACAGTTTTTCAAAGTTTCCGAAAATCTTGGATGATTTTTGTGGATTTTCTGTTGATTCTTGCGCATTTTGTTTGTTCGGAGAAGTTACAGTACTTCTTCTAAGTTCAAGAATCATGTCATCCTCTGCCATGCGTTGAAGTACTTCTGCTATTTTATCAGCGTGTTTTTCGAAAGCACTGTCTTCCGAAGAAGTTATCTGAAAAGGGGAAAGCAGTAGAAAGAAACTATATGAATTACTAAAAATTAGGGGAAATTTTTTATTACTCTTCCCTCAAAAAATTAGACAGATTAGACAATATACTTTTCAATGTACATACATACTTCCTAAGAAGATATTAAGAACATATGGCATTGATAAATATTTTTTAATATTACCTTAGTACAGAAGGGAAGTTTTGTATTAGCGAGCACATGGGAAAATGTGTCGAATCGATGAACTAGCATAGCGCAAAATTGAATGCCCAATATGCTGATAAATGCGGCGATAAATAGACATCCAATAGGTTCGAGTCTTAAATATTCTTTTGTTATATGTATCTAGAAAAAATTGATATATATTATTGATATATATTAGTATAACAATTAAAGCTTAAATAGTTTAAGTACAGTAATTGAAAAGTTCCGTACAAAAAAAGAAGTAAATATAATTTTTAATTTTTAATAAACAAATAGAGTCATAATCAATTCCTCGGCAAGCAGGATCTTAGTTGCTCAATTTCTATATATAAAATAAAATTCAAACAATTTTTTATTACCAACTATAAAAGAGATTTTAATCAATATCAAGATATTTGATTATCGTTGTTACAGAACTGTTACATTGTAAGTCTGCTAAAAATAATGACACGTGGTTGATAATAAAAAATTATTTAAATTTTAGTTCATATATAGAAATTGAGCAACCAAGATCCTGCTTGTCGAGGAATTGGCTATGACTCTATTTGTTTATTAATACTCTGTTTAAATTAACGTATAATTTTTAAGTTCCATTTTAGATACAAGATCATATTTAGAAATAGAAATAGATCTAGAAATAGATCTTATAAATTATAGACTTTGCAGTGCTTTATCTTCCAGTATATTTTAATAACTAACGCTTAACTTTGCAAATTTAATTGTTATGTAATAATTTATTTGTTTAAACAAATATAATATAATATACAAATATAACAAACAAATTGAATTGTTCAAATCATAACATTATTAAATATAATAATTAAGTGAAATTGTTGTTAATGAAACACATATTATTATTATTATTATTATTATTATTATTATCATCATCATCAAAATATTTACCTCAATTCTTTTTGAATTAAATGTAATATTGTATTTTATTCCAAGTGGCCATTGCAAATGTAATGTATCTTTGTTTAATTGCATTAAAAACACAATTAACACAAACAAAGCATTTATCATGAAAAATCTTAATAAATACGCATCACGTGAGTTCATCAGTTCCTGAGTTATTTTATTCTAAAAAAATGTAATTATAGAAAGATTAAGAAAAGAAAATAGTATAAAAATAAATAGTTTGATAACAATAAAATTATCTCATATTTCAAATTATTTTAAAAATATATATACGGAATGTTGAATGACGAGGTGTTGTTCATTATTCAACATCATCATAAACATTAAATGTATGTCATATTTTTTTGAATATGTATCATATTCAACTTTTATATTTTTACTGCCTTATTCTTTCAAAGTAATCAAATTCCTGTAATTGCCATCATGTTATTGTCAACTGTTGCAATCGAAGCAACCAATTTTTAGAATCGAGACAAGGTGTTTCGTCATTGTGCATCTGAGGTTATACTCATGTGAATTTGACACCAGACTAGCAAGTCGACAGCAACTTGTTGACATTGATTTGCTTTCCCAATGAATTGATTTATGACAGCAACATGATGGCAACATGAGAGTAACATGTCAACGTGGCAAACAACATGTTGATGACAATATGATAGCAACATTTGCTACTAATGAATTTTACATTTAGATCTTAGACAACATCTAAAAGACAATTAAAAAATTGTAAATTCCTATTAAAGATATTTTTAGTGAGAAAATACAGCCTACAAAAAGATGATTTATTGTGAACATTTTTTAATCGCTTTTAAGCTTTGTTTCAGATATCTTTTTAGTTGCTTTTAATATTTTCTTTTCATTGTTTTAATTAATAATTATATTGTTAAAAGTAATAAATAATATTTAATTTACTTTCATCTCGGAACATCCCATTTGAGAACTCCGTTTGAGTGAGCTTTATTTTGAAGATTTGTCTTCAAAAAATCATTTTACTAGAAATGGTTGAAATAAACTTATAATACTTCATCTTTTATTCTATTCTATGATTTTTATTTACGAGAAGTTAAACTTTGTCACGTTCATCTAACGGGATTCGCTAGTGAACGAAAGATTAATTAATAAGAGATTGAAAAGTTGTCATAAATGTGTGACATTTCATATTGTCAACATTTTATTAGCAATGAGCTACAATTAAAAAACTTTATAGCTTAAAAATATATACAACAAATGGAAATCATTATATATTTTATTGCCATTATATTTTTATGATCATAATGCTCGAAATGGAACAATTAATCATTTGTTGCTGACATGTTGCCGGAAATATAATATGCCATTATTGCTGATCTTTTGCTCTAAAATTTTATCAACTAATTGCATGTAAGCAATCATGTTGCTGCATTCGTAACATGTTCTATTTCAATGTCAGCAAAGTATGGTGAATATGTAAAAACACATGCAATGTATTAGTTTGCTTAATATGCTGTATCATGCTTGATTATTTGGGTCGTTATTATCTTACTCAAATGCATGAATAATTTGAAACACACAAAAATAGATATTTATTTTTTTCATATTATAAGTACTTTTATTTTCATCTCACTTTATTTTTTCTCTTTTACAAAAAAAAATCAATTTGACTTACATGACTCTCTTCATCACTTTCAATGGGTCGTAAATATTTTCTAATCAAGTCTTTCCAAAATTCTTCTTCATCATTCGAGAGAAAATCCACCATACCTTTTCGCATTCTTTCATCTTGAAGCCAATAAGGGCTAATGAGGAAACTGGATTGGTCTTGACTTGAGGTTGCTGATATTTCCGTCAAATCACTTTCGTCATCGTCTTTATAAACATTTTCTTGATCATTCTTATCAGTTATGTGTTGTAATTCGATTCCTTCATGCATCTCCTCCTCTATTATTTCTCCCATTGAAAAATATGATCTTGGATATATATTAGTATTAGAAGATGATTGGGTAACATTGTTATCTTCAATATTTACTGTATGTAATCTGTAATTATGAAAAATTATATCTGTATTATAGATTATATAAATCTGAAAAATGAGATAAAATAAATAATTATTTGTACAATTTGAATATATCTCTTAATTACAGATTGATAAATAAAACATTAAAGAATATCAATAAAAATTAATTGCATTAATATGTCTCAATGAGTTTCATAATGTTAATAAATAACAAATCCATCAAACCTATCTAGTAAGTTCAAACGTTTGTTTATCTGCTGTAGAGACTCGTTAATTTCCATCAATCGTTTTTCTTCATAACTAATTCCTGAATGTATGCAACACATGCATTTGAAAAGATCTGCTAAAGAAAACTCCAATGAACTTTTTTCTTGCTTGCTTTGCTTATTTCTTTTTCTACTCATAAACCGAGCTAGATTACTGCTGATTGTAGGTCTCTGATCTTCTTGAGGAGTCTTCATTTTTTTATTGTAATTGTCATTGTGATTATTTACAGTTTATATCTGTTTGTTGTTTTTTTTAAATACATTAAATTTAAATAAGCAACTTACGACAATCGGTTTCTTCGAATCACGCGTGCCCCATGTAATATTATGCACATTAAAAACGGAAAAAATAATTAACAACATGTACATGGATGGCACAGTAATATAATAAATGACACCGCACAACAGACAAGTGGCTTCTTGAGGGTGTAACAGACCAGCTAGTATCATCTGACATGCGACGATGAAAAAGAGAAGGCTACTAGGTGCAAGCCATCCATCTTCGGCAATTTGTAACATAATCCCTACCAGGACGACTACCATCACTAGCCCATATATAAGGCTAATAATCTCAGCTACTAATAGCTGCACAAATTCATGCCATAAATAGATCATGTCATAACATATGTAATTCTATTCAATAATCATCGATTAATTTAGCGCATTCGTCAAAAGTACTTTATTAAATGTAATTTGTATGTAAATTTTAATTTCATTTTTCTAGATTCACTGCATGTTTGAAATAAAATTGATATGTCTCTGATGGAAATATTATATTATGTAATATTGAAATGTTTCCTCTTTCAATTAATCCAATTTCATTAGTGCATCAATATATATTAATTTTACATATATCCACTAATTATTT